CCTCGCGGCCGCCGCCCACTGCAGGGACCCGCCCAGCCCGAGGCGAGGCGTGGCCCGCAAGGCCTGCCTGTCCGCAGCCGGCCGCTCCCGCCGGGAAACGCGCACACCGCGGAGTCACACCGCGTCGGGCGCGCCCAGAAGCGCACCTAACGTCTGGCAGCGTCAAGGTACGAGAAGCCGTGGACGCTTGCAGGTGGCCGTAAAAACAGACGGAGGGCAGCAAGGCGTGGAGGGCGCACCCGCCCGCCTGGACCCTCTGGACCCCGGTGGTGGCCGGCCTGCCCTCAGCCGAGGCAACGCAACCTGTGTTTCCTTTGCCCGCGATGCGCTGGGCGAGCCCCGTTCCTGGGGAACACAGCACTGCGCGAGGCTGTGCTTCACGGGTCGCTGCTAAGCGATACTCGGACTTGGCGCGAAAAGTATCAAGGCCGACTAGAAACACACAATACTTCAAGATAAATGGAGGGAGGACAGTGGGGAAGGCAGTGGGTTGTGAAATGCATACAAGCACCTGCGTGTAGGACGAAGTGGAGGTGGTGAGAGGCGTCACCACAGAGCCGGGGCAGGACAGGGACAGGAGAATCCACTGCCATCCACTGCTGAGGGAAGGGGGTGGGGGAGACAGGAGGGGTCTGCTGCGCCCTGGGGGGTCGCGCCCTGGCCAGGGCATCAACTGGTGCTGCAGTGGCTGTCTTCTGTTGGATAGCCACCAGGGAGGGCCCCAACTTTGAAGCCCCATAGCACTTCCAGGAGGGCTACAGATTTAACGCTGACCTTTCTGGAAGCCACCTTGAGGAGAACCGAGCACAAGGTTCAGGATCAGTGAGTGAGAAATGGCAACCGGCAAGGGCCTTTGTCCCACACCACCTTCTTCTGAGTAACCACGCCGTGACTTTTGCGCAGTGATAGCACCCCACGTCTTCAGCTGGGCAAGTGCCGTCAAGCTAGGCTCGTATTTCTTAGGCTGTTCATGGCCCCTTGCAGCAAGGTGAGGTGTGTGTGAACCCTGCTGACCAGAGAACAGCACTTTTGTGTCCTGTTCTTAACAGGAAGTCGCTTAAATGTCAGGGGTCTCCCTGGTGGTGCAAGGGGTTAGATCTCAGCACTAGAAGCTCTCAGCAGCCACATCCCCCGCCAGGGAGTGACCCCAGGCTGCAGCAGACCCCTCCTGTCTCCCCTCTGCCCCCTCAGCGGTGTGTGTCAGTCAGTCCACTTGTTCTGCTCCCCACTGTCTCTCTCCCCCCATATGTTTGGCCTGTACCCCGGTTCTTGTGTGCGTAAGTAATTTTTGTTTTCTAAATGTTAACTGTCAGGGGAGTAAGGGGAAGGTGCATGGTTTTTACTACTATTTTTTTTCCAAATAGGAGGCTTGAAAAGCTGCAATAGAAAGATGCTTGTTCTCCCCTCCCTCTTCTCTCGCCAGTCTCCCATCCACAGAACTGGAAGCAGCACTGAGTGGCTTCAATCTCAGGGGAGACAAACCCTCCCCCGGCCGGGATCGCCTACTCCTCGGCAGCTGTGCCCAACCGCAGCCTCAGCACAGGCAGGGCGCGTCCGCTCATGCTCCCCTGCATCAGAGTGTGCGTTTAGCCGGGGGTCTGCGTGAGCAGGACCCCTAGGTGACCCTCTCACATTAGTGTGAGGAGCACCCTCAAACTAGGGGAGACAAGTGACTACACCCAGCTCTGGCGCTGCTGCGGGGAGCGCCACCGCACGAGAACTGAGAAGGCCGGGGCGTCCATCCAGACTCTGAGAACGCTCATTTTAGACACGAGTGAGAAAATAACAACTTTCCGCGGCTTCCTGTGTGCCAGGCGCTGTCATTAACTTACACAGGAGCTCGCTTATCCTCAAAACAGCTGTCTGGGAGTGGAGCAAAATCACCGTATCTGCTGAGCAATTCACTCTGGAAGTCAGGTTTAAACTTACCAGGAGTGAAGACATATTCTCAGAGTGAAGAGGAGCATAATGTTTGAGTGATTAGGAGGTGCTTTTCTGTTGGTGGGAATATAGACTAGTCCAGCCTCTATGGAAACATCTACGGAGGCTTCCCGCAATATTAAAAAAAAAAATCACATGAGCCAGCAATCCCTCAGTAGATACCTACCCCCAAAACGCAAAACTCTAATTTGCATGTATTCACTCCTTGCCCACTGCGGCACTAATTACAATGGCCAGGGGCCCCCCAGTGACAGGTGGATGAAGGTGATGTGATGTGTAGGTGCAGAGGAACACTACGAAGCCACAGAAGAGGCAATTTTGCCATCTGTGACACCACAGGGGGTTATGCTAGCAGAAATGCCAGGACATGTGGACACAAAGAAACGGATACGCGGAACACAGCAATGGAAGAGGCAGAAACCCAAACCAACCCCTAAACTCTGGCTGCAGAACGGAGGCTGCCAGAGGGGTGGAGGAGTGGTGGGCTGCGGTGGCGGTGACTGGGGCTTGAGTGGGTCCGATGTGGTAACATCTGTAGAAGTGTGAAGTGACACACCTAAAGCCGCGCTGTAAATCAACTTTGCCTCGGTAACCAAAATAGTTTAGTTTTTTAGATTCGTGGCATCTATACAGGAGTCCAGTCACTCTCCCCGCATGCTGAGGGAGGCAGCAGGAGCAGGGAAGCTCTGGCGCGGTGTGGCTTCCTGAGCTACTGATTTACTGACCTGTGACTGCTCCGTGGCTGGGCTTTCCCAAGTGCCTATTCTGAGAGTCCGCAGTCTGCTCTCAGCTGATGATGTTGCATCCACAGCACAGACACCATTCACTGGAGCCTTTTGTGTGCAGACACGTGCCTGGCTCTAGAATAAGAAAACACACTGAGACTTTCGCTAACTTTCTGCTGGGGTTCCTAGCACCCTCCGTTACTTTCCCCAACAAACACCTTTATAAAGCACCGACGTTTAGTTGCGGCGACGCTGCTTTACAACACGGTGTCGCTCAGGAACAGGCGCTCCTCGGGTGCATGCTCACACCCGCCCGGTCGTCGGAGCACCCCGACTATTCCCGGAGGGGGCCCCGGGGCTTTCTGGGCTCCTGGAGGCTGACGCGGGCCAAGTCGTGAACTAGCCGATGTGAGCCGAGCTCCAGCGGCGGCGCTGGGGAAAGGGCTCGGTTCTCCACCTTCAAGTCGCGGCTCCGCGGAAGTGTGCGGCGATGGGGCCCGTTCAAAGTGAGGTATCGGGGCCCAGGGTCCCGGACGCAAGCCACGGGCCGGGGCGCCGCGGCTCCGCCTCCGCCTCGGTCTGCTGCGACGCCCCGAGCGCGCTCGGTCGGAGGCGGCAGGCGGCCGCCGCCAGGTGCAGCGGTCGCTGAGACTGGGGGCCTCACTGCTCAAACCAAGACCAGGACCCGAACTCCGGCCGACCGAGTTTCAGGCCCACATCTCGGTACCGACTTCCTTTCGGGTGCCGGATTGTCCCCGCCTCCGTGAAGCGCCCGAGCCTGCGGGGGCCCTCACGTCGCGGCCGCCGGCCGACGCGCGCGGAGCTCAGCTGGAGAACCGGAATCACTCGCTGGGAGGAGAGGGAAAACTACAACTCCCGGCAAGCTCGGCGGGCCTTCGCCCTCCGTTCGGGGACTCGATTGGTGAACGCACGAGCAGGACGGCCCCCTCGGCGGCCATGGCAGCCAATCACAGGGCAAGGTCCTGTATAAATCAGAGCGGGCGCCTCCTGCCCCGGGCAGAGCCCGCCTGGGCTGCCTGGAGTTTGGGCTCCTTCTGTGCCGTCAGCGTTGTCTCGGCGTCGCCTTCTGCGGCTTCTGTCCAGGGGAGTTGCTAAAGCCATGAGTCCCGGGGCAGTATATGGGTCCCGGCCGGGGAGTCGGCCTTTCGACGCCGGGCGAGGAGAGCGCCTGATCTCAAAGGTGCTGCAGAAGCACAGGGGTAGGGCACGCGGGGAGTGGGCCCCTCCAAGGTCTGTTCTCCCTCTTAGCTCTGTCCGAAACTCCTGGGGCGACTTGAAGAAGGCAACCCCACCCCCCGATGGCGAGCCCACCCACGACCCAGGTGGGGCCCAGGTGAGACCATCCCCCTCTCCTGGCCCCACTACTGGTCGCTGCTCCCCGAGGCCTGTGGAGCGTTTGGAGAGGGCCAGAGCGACCTTTAAGAGCTGGGTCCAACTACTGCTCGAGCAATGTGTTTCTGAGGCTTTTGCCTATTGCCCTGTGTGTGGGGGGGGGGTGCGGAGGGGGGGGCTTTCACTCTGGCTGGGGGAACGGAGCCTTCATGTGAACTCTGGGGTTGTTCTGCTGTTCGCTTATGGAGTTCATACATTGTTACCACACAGCAGTAAGCACATAGTAAACTCTAGTGGCCCCTTAAGGTCTAATCTGTTTATTTTCGTCCCCGAAATCCAGTGGTGGTATCAAATGCACGTGCCCGTTAAGGCTTCTGGATTTCCGGAGCTCTCTACCCCGACACCTGCCTCTTCTCTGGGCTTTTGGTGTCAATGTCTAGCCATTGCAGCATCCCTGAACTTGGCCTCCTCTGGGTACCATTTCCCACATACTACCCTGGCAGCCCAGACATCCTTTCCAGGCTGTCTCTTGGAAAGGAGGGATACCTTTTGAATGATATATTATCTTTGCAAATCAAGACTAAAAAAAGTTCAAAAAAAAAAGTTTAAAAAGGTCTTTGTTGTCAGTCATCTTAGCAGGGAGACTGGCTGTTACTTGTCTGTGGGACAGACAGCAGCTTTATCTTGATCCTTCCTGGGTGAGCGTAAAGAGATTTTGGCTGTCAGCTGTCACTTAAAATAGCTTACCCAGTGAAAAGTTCTTGAGACCTACATAGCTAACTAGAAACCCACTGGGCCCTGGCAGTTAGCCCTATTTTCTGCTCCCTCTTGCAGAGGGCCTAGAAGTAGGTCCTTGGAGAGCCAGTAGAGCCTGTTGGCGCCTGACTTTGGGGTAACAGGAAAAGCCCCGTAGAGCTCCCGGTTGTCTGTGAAACGACCTCAGCCTGTTCTTTCCCAGTACGCTGCAGGCTGCTATCTTAAGTTTTGCTTTGTTTGTTTTTACCAACAGGAGGGAAAGGCAAGGGTGGGGTCAGTTAGCAGACAAATCTAGAATCCACAGGCCTTGAAGCACTTGCCCTGGGAAAGCACCCCATTGCGGTGCCCCTTCTCTGTAACCCAGAGGATCCCTGAGGCTGGCGCCGGGAACACTGCATGGAAGACACGGGGTGGAACTTCCTGGTTGTGAGAAGAGGTTCCTGACGCTCCTAGTCACCACTGAAAAGCACACCCTGTTGGCAGATCTGTCGTGTGTTCAGGCCCAGAGCACTTTCTGAGACTCTGCACTCTCCCAGGCAGGACACCACAAGTCCTGCACGTGTCCTGACGTGACAAGCCGCAGCAATTAATTCACCCTTGTTGTTTTCTCACTCCCGAGAAAAAGGGCCGCTGTGGCGAGCACGGGGAGACCCTCCGAGCCCACCTGGGATGCACAGGGGCCTCCTTGTGGCCCTGGGCTTGTACCAGCACCCCCAGCAGCCTTGGCGCAAGGCCCGGCCAGGGAGAAGCCCCAGGACCCAGCGTCCTGCCGAGAGCTGCAAGCGCCCCGAGGCGCAAAGCGTTCTGCTCAGAAAACACACCAGAGGCTGCCCGCTGGGGCGAGAGACGGGAGCTTAACGGTAGACACAGTATCTTACTGTCTAGATAGCGCCCAGGAAGTTTGGGGCAACATGTAGTGAGCGGAATTATGCTGAAAGTCTAGGAAATCCTGCAAAGGCGCATTCTCGCAGAGCCTACTTACATGTACTCAAATTAAATTAAAATTGTGAACCTGCCAACAGGTTCGACGGGCTCTGACCACGATGTCTGCAGGGAGCCGTATAATTCAGCGCAGCCCTCCGCGGGGCCCCACCCCGGGGGCGGGTGCAGCCCTGTGGGCTCCGGCGGGAACTGCCTTTGCCAGGCAGAGCTTAACGTGCCACCTCGAGCTCTCCGCTGGCTTGGGGGCCGGCTGCTGGCGCTGCCGCCGCTGGCCGGGGGGAGGGCCGCGGCCGTCTTCCCACCGCCCTCACAGCAAGAGTTTCCTTCCTGGCCGCACGGAGGGGAGATGACCGCAGTAAGGGGAGAAGGCGCCCTGCGACCCCCTTGGCCCCGCTGGTGCTGCGTCCCCGCGCGCCGGCTCGCCCGGCGCATTCATCTGACTGGCGCCTCTGGTCAGGCGGCCCAGCTCGCGCTTCTGTTCCTGCCGCGTCGTGCGGCGTCCAGAGGTGCTGTGATGGCGCCACGGCGGCGGGCGGGGCGGCTCGGCCGTC